AAAAAAAAAAAAAAAAAAAAAAAAAAAAAAAAAAAACACATTAGAACCGGGGCCGGGTTGTCCAGGAGCTGGTGTGGTGAAAACGTGGCTGGTTAGCTCCTGTCTGGCACTTTTAGCCAAGAGAGCACTGTAATAAAGAGTACAGATAGAAGAAACAAAATTCATGGGAAAAAGTAATGAGACATGCTAGCAAAAAGTCCTGAACAACTTCAGATACCAAAAATTGGTCTTGTTCCCCCAAAATATCTTTATATCCATAGCCTGTATTTTTCTTTGACATTGTTAAAGTTCAAACCAAAAACTGTTTTCAAATCCTGCGCAGTCTGTGTTGAAGGATCCATCTAAGGAGCGTTTGACATTTTACCTGTGTTGTTGTGGGTCACATTTTAACCACCAAGCAGCCCCTCTCCACGGTTTGAAACATAAGGCAAATAATACCCCCAAGAGATGAAAGACATGGTGAGCCCATTAAAAACTGTTGATGTTTGTTTTTTCTATTTGAACTTTAAAGAAGGAGAAAATTAAGTTGCCATTTGAGTCCAAGATGCCAAGAATGTCACCTTTATCAGCTGATTTTTCTCACCATGAGGAGGGCTCTAAGTGGGTTCAGCAGCAACTGCCTGTCACTGTTGGGATCTGAAGTATGCACTCTCTGAAAATCAACCATCCCACTGTGTAATCAGCAGTGTTTGCAGAATACCTTAATGTCAAAGTTATGCTAAGGTCAGCAACAACATGCCAGAATTTAAATTTTAAACAAATACTTTATTTGAATTTGGCATTCGCTGATGACTATTTTAATTTCCTTTTTTTTTTTAAATCTCTAATCACTTGGGAATAAGATAATACCTTAAAGAAAAGTTCTATATCTTCTCTCGTAATAGCTTCAAGATCTCATAAGCTCTCACCTCCAATTCATAAGAATTTCCTAACTAGTCTCTCTGCTTCCAGTTGCTTCCATTCTCTGCTGTTAATCTACCCATATACTGTGCCAGAGTGATCTTGCCAAAGCTAAAGTCTAATTATATTATTCACCTCTTAAAATCCTCCTAAGGCTCCCTGTGGCTTCTAGGATAAAGGCCTGATTCCCTGCATGGCCTTCAGAGCCTGGGATGACCTGGCCTATGCCTATCTCCCCAAACTCATGACATGCCTCTAATGTGGGATCTGTGTGTAGCAGAAAAGAACCACTCACCAGTCCTCAGAACACCCTGCATGTATAATCTCATGCTATTTTACATGGTCTTCTCGTTGCCTGGAGTCATAATGTCTGTAATTTACTTTTAAAATACTTGAGCTTAAATGCTTTATTTTATTTTCAACAAAGTGCTACTTCATGTAAATTTCAACCACAGTAGCAATCGGTTGCCCTCGTCATGAAGCCCATTCCAGAGCCGGTCAACTTGCATTAGAAAGATTGCATTTTAGAGAAGGATGCCACCAGTGTCATTATTGGTATTCTTATAAAAATTATACATTTTTGCCAATTAGTCCATGAATGCCAGAATGAGTTTTTATGGGTGAAATTAGTCATTAGTTAATTAGCAACTGTTAAGATGAGCGTCAGTAAAAAGGAACAGTCGTCAAGATATTTGGATTCTCTTGGATGAACTGGTTATAAGACTATAGCACATTCCTGTATAAAACTGAGCTTAAAATGGATCAGTGACCTAAATGTAAAATCTAAAACTCTAAAACTTCTAGAAGAAAACATGGGGGAAAACTTGTATGATCTTATTTAGGCAACGGTTTCTGAAATATGACACCAAAAGTACCATCCAAAAAGAAAAAAGCTGTAACTTGAACTTCATCAAAATTAAAACCATTTTTTGATAGACATTGTCAAGATTAAAATACAAGCCAAAAACCAGGAGAAAATATTTGTAAAATGCATATCTGATAAAGGACTTGTATCTAGAATATATGAAGAACACTCAAAACTTAAGAAAACAAAACCCCAATTTTTAAAACTGGGCAAATGATTGAACAGATATTTCATTAAAGATATATGGGCAGAAAATAAGCACAAGAGAATATGCTCAACATCATTAGTCATTAGAAAAATACAAATCAAAATCACAGGAAGATACTGCTCTACGTTATTTGGATGACCAAAAATTTTTATTTAAAACTGACAACACCATGTGCTGGTGAGGATCTGGAACAACTGGAACTTTTGTATACTGTCAGAAAGAAAGCAAAACAGCACAGCTCCTTTAGAAAGCAGTTTGGTCATTTCTTACAAAATTAAACATACACTTACCATATGATCCAGCAATCTCAATTCTAGGTATTTATCCAAGAGAAATAAATGCAAAGTTATATGCCCACAAAATGTGTACATGAAGTAGCTTTATCCACCACCACCTAAAAAACTGGAAACAATCTCAGTATCAGTGAGTAAATAGATAATCCGTGGACATCCATTCAGTGGAACGCTTTCCAGCAATAAAAAGTAATGAACAACAAAGATGAATCGCAGATGCTTTGTGCTAAGTGAAAAAGCCAAACTCAAAAGGCTACATACTGTATGATTCCATTTATATGGCATTCTGGAAAAGACAAGTATAGGGGCAGAAAACAGAGCAGTGGTTGCCAAAGGCTGGGGAGTTGAGTAGGGATTGACTGCAAAGGGACATGAGGGAATTTTGGAGGTGATGGTTGGGCTCTATGATTTGATTCTGGTGATGGTTATATAATTGTACATGTTTGTTAAAACTCATAGAACTGTACACTATAACAGGGGAGTTTTACTGTTTGTAAATTATTTCTCAATAAACCTGACTGTAAGTAAAGAAAAATGTCAGGGAAAGCCTGTGGTTGCATCATTAGAGATAGTAATGCCCAAGGCTTTTGCAGTCATGCATTTAAGAATATTTCTTGTTACTTGATGCCAACTGTAAAGGTAACAGGATGTGGACCCTGGATTATATCATCATGACTACCTCTGGTGAACCTTCCATGCAGTGAACTCTTACGACAGAGCACCTAAAACAACAGTTAGTTAGGACTGCTGTGGGCTTACAGAACAGCCTGTTTGAACTCTGCCTGCCAAGGGATACCTGTAGGGCAGAGTTTGGACTGAAACACTATGATTACAACTTTAAAAGGCTGTGGCAGTGCACCCAATCCATTTCCACCTCAGACTTCTTCAGCAGCTACTAATACCTGCCAAAAAGAACCTGAGAATTATGTGCAACCGACCAGCACAGGCCATTTTCACGCAGAAATGCCCTCCTTCCTAAAGCTGTCAGATGCGTTCACAGAACCATCACCAGAATCAAATTATAGAACCCAACCATCACCTCCAAAATGCCCTCGTGTCCCTTTGCAGTCAATCCCTACTCAACTCCCAAGCCTTTGGCAACCACTGATCTATTTTCTGCCCCTACAGTTGTCTTTTCCAGAATTCATCACCTTCTGTCAGGACCCTTTCCTGACACCCCACGGCACATTGCCATGGCACACCATGTAGACGTGCTTGGAGTGAGATGCTGTTCTCTTTTAATCATTTTTTTCTTAATCTGCCCCACTAGGCTATAGGTCTTTTTGTTATTTATTTATTTAGAGACAGAGTTTCGCTCTTGTTGCCTAGGCTGGAGTGCCCTGGCAGGATCTTGGCTTATCGCAACCTCCGCCTCCCAGGTTCAAGGAATTCTCCTGCCTCAGCCTCCTGAGTAGCTGGGATTACAGGCATGTAACCCCTAAACCACTCCCAGCTAGGCTATGGGTCTTTAAGGATACAAACTGTCTTCTATTTCCAGGGCCTAGCACAATTTCTAACAAATTCATAGAGGTTCCGTACCTGATTTAGTTAACTAATAAATTATCATTAATAAATGGAAGACTAGTGATGACAGCCGGTGCTTACTATGCACTCCATTTGTGCCAGACACTGTGCTATACTTAACACTTGATACGTAGTGGTTACTCACAGCACCCTATGAGGCAGGTGGTGTTTTCACTCCCATTTCATGGGTAAGGAAACAGGGATAAAAAGTTAAAGTCACTTGCCTACAGTCATACAGCTGGTGATTGAAGCCAGAGTAGTCTTCTTACACTTTTAAGATCTGTAAACCCGGCCTCTCATCTTCATTGCAACAATATATATTGAAAGTTACAATGCTTTTCACATTATGCCTGCAGCCCTGGCATTGAAAGAATTTTAGAACTCCTTACCAACACTGTAGGGATTAAACAAGCAATGATCATAGCAGTCAGCTTGCCCCAGATCACCCAGTTGTTCTATAGACTAACTAAGATGGCTTTCTGGTTAAAAGCAGGGAGGGTGTTTACATTAAAACACACAAGGCCACTACTGCTTCATATTAAGTGTATAGCACAGGGTCTGACACTGATAGAATACACAGCAAGTGTTCGCTATCATCGCAAATCTTACATTTATTCATAATTTATTCGTTATTTTGGTGCTCCGTCCCAAGATCATTGCCCCTCCCGGAAAGATTTGTTATTAACTGCTCTCCCCATCTTTCTCTTTTTCAGGGTTCACTGTTTCCACTATCTCATCCCTCTTGCAAAGGAAGGGAACTATGCCATTGTGGCTAATGTGGAAAGTATGGATTATGACCCCCTGGTGGTCAAGCTCAACAAAGATATCAGTGCCATTGAAGAGGCCATGAGCGCCAGCCTCCAGCAGCACAAGTTCCAGTATATCTTCGAAGGTCAGACCCTGCTTCTGTCTCTGGGAGTTTGGGAGGAAGAAAGGATGAAGCGTTTTCCTGATTTTCTGTATTACTGAAGTTCAAGACTTGTAGAAAAGAGTTGTTTGTTTTCTTGCTTGCTTGTTTGAACTAAATCTGCAATACCTAGCTTCTTTGTGTATGACTAGGTAGACAACAATATGGCTGCCATCTGCTTCTGGTTGATAAGGAGATTTAATCCAAGATAAGGCAGATGGCTGCCTCTCTGACATGCCACTCATGAGATTTGAGAGAATGTACAGAGTGGGCCACAAATTAACTCTAAGAGGAGCTTATAAAATAAAAAGAAAACACACACACACACAATGAGGAGAGAATCCTGAAAGATCGCTCATCGGCTAAAATTATCACTGGAACAGGAAGTTTTCTCACAGAATGTATAATCATCTGCAAGGAACAGAAGCCTCTGATATTAGCAGCGATTTTTAGGAAGGGTGTGTCCGTAAATGCCTCCAAGGGGCAGGCAAGGAAGGGTGTGAGAGACAGGAAGGGCCGTCTCAAACATTACCCTTCGCAGTTTTGAAAAAATGTGATGGCACCCAAATAATTTTCCATGGTGAATTTCACCCAGAGGACCCCTGTTAGGATTTCACAGTATGCTTCCTTTGCCCATGTTTTGGTTTGTTTCTGCAAAAACTTAGATGGCAAAAGTATCTATGTTCTCTCACAGAATTAAACTAGTATTATTTAAAAACAAGAAGGTACATTGTCCAGAGGACTGTGGCAAACTGACAATACATGACCAATGTTTGCTTTGTGAAGGTTATATTCCAGCAAATTTGGACCCTCCCAAAATCCAATCCATAAATGTATATGAAGTTATAAAGAGATATGTTCTATTGGCCAAAAAGTATAAGTGATTAAAGGGTTAGCTGTCAGTTAACGCTATGGCACTATGAGTTTGGTGACACCTGTAGTATTTTCCAGCTTTAAGCTGCAGTGCCTATCCGAGAATTCACTTTTCTGTTATTGTACCAAGCTTCCTCTTTGCTCTTGACTATGGCTCCTCCCAGCCCTGCATATCAACATTTGTTTTATTCCTATTACAAAATGCATTTATTTAATATATTTATTATAATGTATTATTAGTTCTTATTCCCTACAAACAGCGTACCCCTTCGTTGCCCAGACTTGCAGACCACATTATATTGTGGCACAAAAAAAATGTACCTAAAGTTATTGGCTTGAGAGAATGACACCAGAACTTGGCCTACAGAGATTTTTCATATAAATAAGTTGTCTAGCTGTAAATGTAGAATCTGCAGTTGTGTTTTTCTTTGAGGAAAAGCTTCTCTTCACTTTCAAATAGTAGTACATGCAAGTTTGTGGTCTTGAAGCAGTGTTGGCTGAGTGTAGCTGAAGCAAGAGCTGAATGCATCTCCTCCCTCTTCTACTTTCACCTTGATCAAAGGAAAACTCATTTTGAGACCTAAGGAGCAACGAACCTAAAGATGAGCCCTGCACTCTGATCTACACCTCAGAGTCTCAGGGAAGGGACTAGCCTTCAAAACAGGAAAACAGCCAATAGCAAACGGTTTGCGACTAGTCAGACCAGCTTTAGAGTTCCAAGGAAAATGTCCTGCTAGCATCCAAGAATAAGAAAGAAGGAAGAAACGTTTACTGAATTCCATTTAGAATTAAAATCCATCTTTTAAAAATAGTAACCCATATGTGTCTCATGTTGTTCTGAACCAGTGTTTCTCAACTTAATTACATGGGGTATCCTAAGGAGGACTTAGTTTGCTGATGTCCTGAGCTGCCCTTTGCTAAACTTCGAAGACCATAAGACAACCCTCCAGGCATAAGAACAAACCACTTATGGGGCCCAAAAATGTCCACGGGTGTCTCACAGGAAGTCAACAGTTAATGTATGATCTGCTTTTCCTTCACCCTTTGTTTCTAATTACATTTTGTCCAATTCCTACTTTAGAAATACACCCATTGCCAGTATTAAGGTGTATTAGCATTATTGCCAATAATCCAATTTCTTATTGATTTATTTTTTACTTGGCAATGTTGAAATACATTAACATTATTGACAATATCCAGTTTCATATTGATTGTATTTATGTAGGTTCCCAATCAATTTTTGAGCCCAGAATGTCCCCCTCTATCTTGTAGGATAGATAGGTCGTTGTATATGCCTGTGTTCTTCTCTGCTGTCCAATTGTCTATAAAGAAATGCAGGGTTTCCTGTGTACTTCAGTAGTTTGTAATAACCTGGCATCTTCTCTAAGGCCATGGCATGGTGGCAGTAGGTGTACATGGCAATGCTGGAGATGTGGCTATACCAGGCTTTGCTGCCAACATAAAGTCCACCCATTTGTAACCACTAGGGCAATGTAGAAATACCTTAAAATTATTGTCAGATCAGCAGATGCAACCATCAGAGGTATATTTTCTTTGGTCACTTAAATGTGTAGAGGATTAGAAGACAGCAATGTTGTGTGCAGGTTTCTGCAGGAATGCCTCTAATCTATCTTCCATTTTCTCTGCACCGCACTGTGCTGACCCCTCAGGCCTGGGACACCTGATCTCCTGCATCCTCATTAATGGTGCCCAGTACTTCAGGCGCATCAGTGAGTCCGGCATCAAGAAAATGTGTAGGAACATTTTTGTTCTTCAGCAGAATTTGACCAACATCACCATGTCGCGGGAGGCCGACCTGGACTTTGCCAGGTAGGAGGGAAAATTGGGCTTAGTTTCTTGTGCCAAAGCCAAGACCTCATTGCCTGTGAAGTGATTTTTAAAAATGGACTCTTAGTTCATAAAAAGCTTAGTTTAAAAAAAGAAAGAAAGAAGCATGGATAGATGTTCTTAGGTCTTATAGAGACGGTAATTCCACAGAACTCTATTGAATTTTGTTTCTTTGGCGGGTAGTTTTTCCTGATGTCTCACCCAAATTCTTCTTACTACAATATTGAATAATTTTTTTTCTGAGTATAAAAGTGTGCATGCTCATTGCATAAAATATATAAGATAAAATACAAAGAAGAATATAAATCTTTGATCTAGAGGCTAAGATATTTGGTATATTTTCTCCTGGCTTTTTTGCATGTGCTGTGTTGTTTATATGACTTTTCACATATACTCAAGCATATGATTTCCCTTTTTCCAAAATTAGAACTATGTTAATGCAATTTTATATTAATTTAATGTTGTTTTCCCACATCAGTAATGTTTGAAAACATGATTTTTCCACATTCATTAATACGCCTTGAAAACATTACTTTTAATGATGCCTGAACAAATATTCCATAGTATAAATGAGCCATATTTATTTTTTAATCACCTGTAACTTTTTGAACATTTGAATGTTCCCTTTTTTTCCTTATTGTAAATCACATGTATCGACTATATTTTTACATGAACCTACTTCTCATTTTTTCCATCTTGTTCCAATTGAAATCCATCTCTTCTTCTTGTTCTCACTGGAAGGGAAGTGAGAACTCATCACTATCCTTTCTCTTCTGTAAGTTTGCTGATCTAATTTTTTTTTTTTAAGTGACAATGTCTTGCCCTTTTGCCTAGGCTGGATTGCAGTGGTATGAACATAACTCACTATAGCCTTGAATTCCTAGGCTCAAGGAATCCTCCCAAGGAGCTGGGACTAAAGGCCCACCCACCACACCTGGCTAATTTTTAAATTTTTTTTATAGAGACAGGATCTCACTATGTTGTCTAGGCAGGTCTTGAACGCCTGGCCCCAAGCAGTCCTCCTGCCCCAGCCTCCCAAAGCATGGGGATTACAGGCACAAGTCACTGCACCCAGCCTTGATCTCAATTTTTAATGTTTTTGTATAACATACTTTTTCAAAATTTGAGAGTTAATTTTTTTCTCTTCATTTGCCTTAATCCCTTAACTAGAATATCAGACCTTTGGTGCTTTAATAAAAGCCTAAGCAAATTGAAGATGATAGATGATAAATATTAACATATTTATCATTGTGCTCTTTTGCTGTTTATACCTAAGTGGATTATTCTGTAAACTCCCTTATTTTCCAAAAGCCTTTATGGCTAGGAAGTCATTTGTTTTTAATAATCTCCAGTGTTCCTGCCTGAGACTTAGTATTTCTGTGTCTTTTCACTTGATTTTTTTTGATTCCTTGAGAAGCTCAGGAAAATTTGAAACAATTCTTGAGGCATTTATGTAGATGATGAAATATTATATTACTTTAACAATTATAAAAACAAATACACTATGATATTTGTTTTAGGTATGAACCATATATGTTCATTTTTAACCTTTCTTCCTCAATCTGTTACTCCATTTATTCCATTACTACCCTGTTTCTCTGCTTTTCTGTCCTCCTCCTTCCTTGTCTTTTCCTTTCTATTTGTGGGAAAATAAGAGAGAGAGAGTGTGTGTGTGTATGTGTGTGTGTTTTCATTAAATTCCCTGTTTTAGGCCAAATTTGGTGGAAAGCATTCCTTGGTCAGATTAGAGAAACCAGGTGTGACTGAATGCTGCATTTATTTGGTTGCTCTTATGGGGAATGATCTCATTATTGAATTAGTCTAGTCATAATAACATTGACAAGGGGAAGTTAAGAACATAGAGGCCTGAGGGATACAGAAACCCATTACTAATGCTCTAAGGAATACAAGTCCTAAATTCAATCATCCTATTTTAAATGATTTTTTTTTTATTTAGCTGAAATAAGTAAATTAACACAGTTTTTGGCAGACAGTATGGGGATTGCAAAACCTGGCATCTGAATGATGCAATGCTGACTGGGCAGGATTGAAGTTGGCATCAGCAGGTCATGTGACCATGAAGCATTTCTTCAGGAAATAACTGAGTGGCAACCATGCCGTGCCTTTCAAAGTTGGATTGGTGAATTATGTCCCAGGAAGTAGGTACAAGTAGCATGTGACCACTTGGGAGATGTGCTGCTACTATTACTCTTTATTCTGACATGGGTTTTTGAAGGGAAATAGGCTAGCATAAACACATAGCACTGGATGATTCTGTTCCTCTGATCCTGCTTCGGAAAACATCTCCTTACTAAGGCTGTAAACTTCAAGAGGCCAAGACTTTTTTCTCAGTGCCTGTACCAAAGTAAGTGTTCATTGTATATACTGAATGAATGAACAGATATCAAATCAAGGCTAATTCTGGTGTGGATGAAGGCCTTGGATATTGACAGGTCAGTTTATGTTTAATTCCCTGAAGGTTTAAACCAGGCGGCATGGATCAGTTTTCTTATAAGCTTGTAAGAAAAAAAACGTGTCTTCCTTGCAGTTTACTCTTTGTAAAACAGCATTACCAAAAGAAATAATGTAGCTCTGCTATTCATAGTCTCTTTCCCTCTCATTGTTTCTTGCTTTCATATAGACACACTTAATAGCCTGATTTTTCCCCTTTCTTGTTTTTGGTAGGGACAGATTTTGTGAAAGGGGCTCCATCAATTCTACCAAATTTGAAACTGTGTAAAATAAATATAACAGCAATACCAAAAGAGCCAGAAATAACAGACTGCAGCAGTGTGCCTCAGCATTCCTTAAGCAATGTCTAATCAAGCATGGACAGCATCTGTATTTCCAGCAAATCTCTATAGGAATGTTATCTTCTAACACAGTAATTAATCACTAGTTGCCATGTGTCAGAAAACTTATTTAACAAGAAATTGCAAAGTGTTTGTAGTTTTCTTACCTTCTCAGCCTTCCTGGCCAGTGGAAAATATAACACCTTTCTGTAATAAAGAAATGAGGGATCTGGAGCAATTCCATTGATGTTGATTCTTCTACTCATTGTATTGTTAGGTTGTCTCTCTGTTTTCATACACACCTTTCCTCTAACTGATCTCTAATAGGAGGGTAGATCTTGGATGAGCAAACGAACTAGACACCCTATAACATTACCAGAAGTACAGAGAGCCTCTGTCCTCTGTAGTAATGATCATGTAAGCTCTCTTACAGTTTTGACCCCACTGTTAATTTTCAGAGTCAAAAAGATACTTTATCCAGGGAAATAGGTGCAGAATAATTAGAAAGTGGAAGGGCTTTATGAGTGTGATTTTTTTAGTTCCTTTTTATCACAGATCATCTTAACTTGAGCTGTCATGCACCTTTCTATATGTGAGTCACGGGAGCCACCTAGGAGTCCAGATGGTGGGAGCATAACAAGACAGGTCCGAACAAACGGTGGTTGGAGTCCCCAGGCTGTATCTGACAATCTTTCTGTATCTGGTTTGAGTGGCGCCATTGTTCAAAAAGAATATCCCAGAGTTTTCTTGCCAGTTCTTCCCTCTCTACCCCATTTTGTCTCTCCCTCTGCCTCTTCAGCTGTCTTTTTTCTCCTTTATTTCCCCTATTGCTCTACTTCCTACTTTCCTCCGTCAAGGTTTCATTGCTCCTCAATTTTTCCCCTGATTTTGGTTTTCTATGGACTGGTATGTTTCATTCTTAAATCTGCACAAGATAAGGAAATGAAAGCTAAGGTTCAGGAAGTGGCAGGGAGAAAAGTCGTGACACCCAAGACAGCTTCCTCGCCTTGTTATTCCTTCATTTCTTCATTCCTTCATCAAACATTTATTGAGTGTATGTTCTCTGTAGGTCCTGGCCTCATGGAACTTGCATTTCTGTGGGGCAAGACACAAAGTAATAAATAAATATATGTATAGTATTTCAGATGATAATATATGCTGTAGTTTAAAAAATGAGACTAGGTATGGGGAGGGGACCAGAGGGTGCCAGAATATAGTGGAGGTAATCCGAAATTTTAAAGGGTTCATGGAAGTCCTTAATAAGATGGTAACATTTCAGGAAAAACCTAAAGGAAGAGTAGGAGCAAGACATGAGGCTATCTAGGGAAAGAGCATACCAGGAAAGAACATCTAAGGGTGAGGAGCCAGAGGGAGGAGCACGCTTCACATCTGAAGAACAGAGCAGAAAGGTCAGCATGGATGGAGTGAGTGAGCGGGGGAAGAGTAAGAGATGAAGTCTGAGGTTTGATCTAAGGAGGTGAGATCTTGAAAGTCACTGTAATGACATTGAGTTTTACTTTGCATGGGGTAGGAAGCTATTAGAAGGTTTGGAGCAGAAGTGCTACAATAACGTGAATCACTCTGGCTGCAATGTTGAAATTAATGTCGCGGTTGTTAGTTGGGATGGGGAGCTTGTAAGAAAAGGCAGAAGCAGGAGGCTCTGTTGGAAACTGTGGCTATAATCTTCTAGTTAGTGGTGATTCAAAACAAGATGGCAGCGCTGGAGAGGATGAGATATGGTCAGATTAGGATATATTTTTAAAGTTGAGCTAACAGGATTTGCCGAGGAATTAGAAGTGAACCAAAGACTCCAAGGCTTTTGATCGGAACAATTAAAAGTATGAAGTTTTTATTTACTGGGATGAAAGTGAACCAGACCATAGGAGAGGGTATTGAAGTGTGTAGAGGACGGGGCCAGGGGTCAGATAGAGAGGGGATAACAAGAAATGTTAGTTTGAGATGCCTATTAGGCACCAGAATAGAGACAGAAAGGGAGCTAGCTATACAACTTGGAGTTGAGAAGAGAGGAGTTTAGGAGTCATCAGCATATAGATGGAATTTAAAGCCATGAGAAAGGGTGAAAGGTGAGATCTCAGTGGGAGCACCAGTAGATTAAAAAAAGAAGCTGTTCTAGAATTAGACCTTGGGCACCCCACTGTTGAGGTGTTGGAGTGCTGGAGAAGAACCAGC